TCAGTGGCTGTGCCAAGTACAAGTTGTTATGCCCTCGATAATACCAGTCACATTCATGATTTTGTATCCTCGTTATGATATATATGTTCCCAGAAGTTGTACACAAAAAAGATCCTGTCTTTTTGTTTTTTGGGCTGGCTAAAATAATGGAGTAGGTGTAAAATTTGTTGATTGTGGCATTCATTGTCTTAATTCTGTACATCATGGGTTGTCCGAAAAAAGTTTCTTGTATTCGTTATAAACAACTCCGAGTGTGGTTCTAAAGAGCCCATTTGTGTCTTAAGGCTGAGTTTGATGGTTAGAGAAACATAGCTTTATTGTTTTCCCTCCACTCAATTTTGAATTGTTTTTCCGCTCATGTCGTCACTTAGAGTAATTTGGTTGGACAAGTTTTTGAGTATGATGATGATAAGGTAATATTTTCTTCAAGATAAAGAAATCTTGAATGCACATATGTAAGTTTGTTTTGTGGTTATATTCTTCTGAGATGTTTGGGTCATTTGTCAAGTATCTAATATGTATGCAGGACCCTGATCTGGTGGTGAGGTTCTGTAAAGATGTCGAGACGAGATCCCAACCGGTAGTTAATATATGACTATTCTAGTTTTTGTGAAAAAAATGTTTTGACTTCTATCACGTCAGTAGGCTGTGGGGTTAAGTCATCTTGATGATATTCTTTGATGCTAATGATGTGTTCCTGTACTATAGGGATATGTGGATTTTGGAAGATTTGATAAATTCAATTATTTTAATGCCGGTTCTGGACAGCATGACTTTGTGCAGGTAAGTTTGATTCAGTCACATATTTCATTTTTGTTCCTCAAGTCAAAGTGGTTATAAGCATATAGGTTTGTGGGTACCATTTACTTGTGTCAGCTCTCAAAATTCTATGATGATTGAGACATAGAGATTCAGTTACTTTTAATATAAAGAACAAGATAATTATATTATATGCACACATGATATATTTGCTTTAACTGTTTTATCATTGCTTTAACTGTTTTATCATTATTGTCAGTGCCCTGTTTCAAGTTTCAACCAATACTTTTTTTTTATCCTTTTCCTTTCAAATGTTTTGTGGCTCTTTGATTTACAATGGACTTTGGGTTTATAGCTTAAGAACTTTCCTTGTCTAATATTATATTGGTATAACTGCTAAGACTACTGCAGTAGACCGATAGTATGAAATCTTAAATCTTAAACTCAAATTAAATGAATAATTAACCACTTAATCAGTGATGAATTATTGCAGTTTTGGAATTTGAAGGTGTTGGGGGTGGGATCCTCCTGGTTCCATTAATTGGATGTATTTCAAGAGAATCATTGGTCGGGCTGTATCTTAGAAAACTACATTCAGCTATAGTTAGCACTTATAGTACATGTCCATTTAATGGCTGTTTTTCTCCACCACCCCGCCATGCTTTAGTTATCTGCTGTAGAGATCTTAAACTCCTCAGACAAACCTTACTATTATTTTCAGCAATTTTGATTTATCTAGATTACCTGATTGGATTCAGATGTGTGCACTGCCTTGTTTAAGTTGTTTTGATGTTGCACCAAGGCAGTGAATTACCTTTGTTACCCTTCTGTCGTTCTGTTATTTTCTTCTGTTCCAATTAATTATCAATGCGAAGACTGATAATTGTAACTAACAAACAATGTCATGCTTTCTATAGCAAAAACTTTACGCTTATAGCGATAACAGTTGTGAGCTCCCCTTGAAATTGAAGTTTGTATGTTCAATTGTTCATATTACTGCTATAGAAATCCAGTATCTTTTTTTCAGATTAATGATGATGTCAATGATTGACTCTCATTCTAGAAGACCTTGTTTCACGACTTCTATAAAATCTGTTATTGCTAAACTTTGTCATTGGGCATTTCCAGGAATATTACAGTGGTGACCTAATGAAGTGTGAGAAAACTTTTGATAAATTGGGGCGCACAGCTCAGGTCAGATTAGTGACGGCTATACAAATTTCTATCTCTTATCTACTACTTTTTCTTGCGTTACATATTTTCCTCGTGGAGATGTAGAGTGAACTATTGCAGCTAAACTTGCAGTTTACTGTATTATATGTAACTGAGGCAGTTTGTTTCCCTATTTTCAGCTAAATATCATTTGTGGAAATTGTCCAAATGGACAATGTGTAGGTATGTGAAACTTCATTAAATATGTAATTCTTAGAAAGGAATGTATCTGTTTAGAGTGAACTTATTTCATTTTTATAAGCTATGTCATCACAATTTTAAAGTTTATTTCATCTCCAATATAGCTCTGCTCTTTGAATGGGTTTTCATTTTCTTGCAATTTTCCTGTTAAATCAGCTATTAGGGTGAGAATTAATATTCCCATTGTATCCTATTATGTATCTTCTTTTCTTTATAGAATTGCTTGTTAAAGAAGCTGATAGGATGAAATTAATATTATATTCGTGTATGGTTTTCGAACAAATTATGTAATACCAAACTGCAAAGTAATTATATCCAACCCTTGTACTCATTGTTGATTAGGATATTTTGATAAGTCAATCGTTGATAATTGTATGTCCGAACAACCAAACAAAGAACGCATATCATTGTCAGTATTTTCTGTGAGACATAAATGGTTATGGTTAGTAGATCAATCTGGATCCATAGGCAGGGGAAGACAAATAGTAGTATGAAAATCTTTCAATCATCTGTAATGGTTTCAAAGTTTAACTACCAGAGAAGTATCTTTTAGTTTCACATATCGAATAGTTACAAAAATAATGTTGCTGAAATTTTTTTTGGTTTGGATTCAAGCCTGCCCAATATCGAGAGACTTGACCTCCATACATAAGCTAAGATGTGAAAATAGTACCTTTCTGTATGCTGACAAACAAAGTCATTGAATTGATAACATTAGTAATGTTACTGTTAGTGAAGTATTCTGAGGATACTGAGTATGTTTCTTTCTGATATATCGATGCTTTGGGCACAGGCTATACAAAGTATTGTCTTTTTTCCCATTATTCTCTATTTTTCAAATTTGAACCACCAAATATAAGTCTATGGTTTCACAGTGTTCTTTCTTTCGTGCATGTTTAAACTATCTTTAAAGTATTTTTGATAAGTTAACTGTCACACATGTTCTGCATGGTGTTAAAGACCATCAATTTTCAGTAAGGGACTTGATTAGCTACATTATTTCACAAAGATTTTGGTGCCACTGTTCATGATTAAAAGCTGTTTGTAAGACTTGATAAACCAAATGCGGGAAGTAAACACTGTTCATTTTTCAGTCCTGTTGAATACAATGAGTGACTGGATTTTATCACCTATGTTGTGAAAACATCTAAGCATCTTCATCTCCTGCACTCCTTCTAAAATCCCTACAAGCACTTGTAAGGGTACTGTTTAGTAGATGAATCTTGGCTATCATATGAATCCTGAAAAATTAAACCAATCAAGGTCGTTGATGCTTCTCTTAGAGTTAAATTGCTACTCTTTGTGCGGGTTGACCTCCTGCTTTCACTATATGATACTTCTCTTTTTTTTTGTGTGTGTTTACTTCGTGATACATGCAGTTGAAACGTTCTCATGCAGTAGCTTCTATATACACTCCAGTACTGTTCTTGATAAATATTTTTATTGCTACTATTTTTTAATTGCTAATAGTCTAATATATGTATATGTGCTTTCCTTAGGTGGTCTGGGGTGCATCTGCAAAGTTACCTATGAATCTTCATGCAGGTTTTCATATGAGTTCTTGCTTTTATGCTTTATATTTTATCTTTCACAAGGTCATTTGAAGCCTAAATAAAATGGTGACAAATATATTCCAAGTGATGTATATCCAGTGCGCCAAAAGAACTATTATTACATGAAGGGGAATTTTCAAATTTATCTTCCAATATGCATGCTGAAAATTAACAAATGGGCAATCTTCGCTGATCGGAACTAGAACGTACTTTATGTCCCTTTGGTGGAGCAGCAAATAGGGTAAAATTCAATTTTATTTTATAAAGTGATTCTAGAACACAAATAAATGATAAACAATAGATGTGGATGCTGGTTCAGCTTCTGAATGACATTCAAGAGAGTTTGTAACAAAAATTGGAGAAAATACAATTTTCTTAAACCTGCCTTTTGAGATGCTTCCACCCTCTAGCAAATGTAGATTCACTCTGAATAGCTTTCATAAAACTTCAATTTATTTTTTCAACTTCTGATTATTTTGCGTTTTTGTACTTCTTTGTGCAGGGTGCTCATTGATCTAGCCATTCCCTGTGTGAAACCAGGTTTGCGGGTATTTGAGGGCTTCACAGTTGGCTTTCATCCTCGCTCGTGGGAAATTGTAGAGTAGCTCTCTATTCTGAATTATTTTCTACTTACACTACCAATCGTGTGACGAGTCACATTTACAAAGAACATTTTTTGGTTGTAGGTCTATAATGGTATGACTCAGTTGGGTTATGAGAAGCTTTACGATGAATTTAGGTACTGAACTTATTCTTTTCACTTTTTTGCTTCATTTGCAGTTTTTGCTTCAGAATTGTGTTCAACGGGGTTGAGATTGTTCTTCAAATATATCTTTATAGCTCAACCCTCC